TTTGGAGGTAAGCGGCTTGTCCCGAAAGTGAGCGTTTGACAGGTTTTTCAACTCTTCCCAGTGCCGTTTTAAACAGCGTCCAGAGCACTGAATCTCTTCATGTCATCTCAAAAGAGCCTGCTTCGTTCGCAGTAATACTGCACGGAGACCCAAGAAATATCCTGGGAAGCCATGGGACCTGAAAGTTTTGAGATTTAACTTGATCAAGTGTGCATACGTCCCACGTTCAGACGCCTTAATATCGGGACTTAATTTAAAACGGGGTTATTAAGACCCACTTCAAGACACAATAAAGTATGAAACAAAACATGGACTGAATGGACTAGGAATCCAAGCGGCCGCACGACTTCTGGAAAAAGCATCAAATTTCTAGTGCCTTCACCTAGGCCAGGATCGGAGAGCAGCCATGCACCATTCCGCCCACCATAGTAGAGATAATTGGGCATGGACGTAGGAGTAAGGGGAGGCGACACACCAGCTCAAACCAGCCAATCGCGAAAATCCCAAGTAAATCCGGAAGTAGAGGTCGCTGTCGGAGGGAATGCCCTCAGGATGCCCAAGTCCGTCCAATTGCGTCTTTTGGTTTTGGCCATCGTTGGGGGCGTGTCCCTCTAAACCGGAAGTCTACTCCGGCTTCATCTCTGGTAGCGTCATGTCGCCTCCAGAAGCTTCCTGCCTCTATGCCCGTGGGCCTTTGTTATACAGGGTGTTCGCGCCCCTTCCGGCCGCCATGACAGGGGGGAGCGCTACTACCGATCTCCTGTGTTAACCTTGTGTTTGGGTGGGTGTGCGACGATTCGTGGTTCCCTACCGACTAACTGGCCGAGAGCAACGCTCTGGAGATACTGCAGTCTTGTTTTTCAGTAGCCATTACGTACCGGCCCGAGCAAAGTGTCACCACTCACAAAATAATTTTTTTCGGATTATCTCGAGACCAGGGACGCCACCGACGCCCCCGAGCCTGGGGGATCACAGAACGGTGGGATTAGCAGACGTACTAGCCTGCTTCTACGTGCTGCCAACAGGTGGTGCAACGCGACAAACGCCAGGTAGTGACACTAACGACGCCTTGACCGACCATCCCCGTACGACGATAGTTCAGTTCAGTTTCAGTTTATTATACCTCAAAGGCATTTCAAATGATATGCATTAATAAGGGGGATCAAATGAAATATGAAGCTGGCAGAAGAGTGACGACAAGGTAAACAATAGTAAAACGCAAAAATACCAACTAATAGAAAAATATCAAAGCATAACTTGTATAAAAAGTATTAACAAATAAACACGTTAAAGATCAACACTTTTCAGGTGTGCCTTGCGGAGTTCACGGAATGCCTTCGGGTTAGATTCACATACTATGGTTTCAGGAAGGGAATTCCAGTTAGTTATAACGAGAGAAAGTTGGGAACGTTTTTTAATTTATTACTTTTCGCGAATAGAGGTTAATTTTTTAGACTGTGGTCGTGACGCATGAAGATGTGAGGTGGCGGGTGACAGTTCGTTTTCCGAAAATCAGAAGATAAATCGTAAATTTCGTGAAAAAGGACATGACGAGCAAGTTGGGTTTCTTCAGATGGAGGGCATATGTCTAAGTTGGAGGTTCGTACAGTTACGCATGACGTTTGCGAGTAATCAAGTTTTATAAAACGTGAAGCCTCGTTTTGCACCAATTCGAGTTTAGTAATGGGGTATGGTTGGTGAGGCCACCAAATAAAGTTGGCGTAGTCCAATTTTGATTGGACGAAAGCTTTATAGGCAGTTAGTTTAACACAACGGGGAGTGAATTGTAGGTTGCATTTTATGTATCCTTGATTTCTGCATGCGCTAGCCACTATATTGTCAATATGAGTATTCCAAGTTAGGTCTTCAAAAAATGTTGTGCCTAAAAATTTGTAAGTTGGAACTTTTTCGAAGAGCAGTGTTATTAATGTGTAGTTACGTACAATAGGGGATCGCAAAATAATTAATGTTAAAAGTTTGCTCTTGGTTATATTGATCTTTATCTGCCGCGTGTTACACTAATCAGACAGAACATTTAGATCCTTCTGTAAGAGTATCGAATCTTCAGGGTTAGTAATTCGACGGTAAATTACGAAATCACCCTCGAAAAGCCAAATAGAGGATGTTATCTGTTGAGGAAGATCGTTAATATAAAAAATAATAAAGCGGAGCGAAAACGCTGCCCTGGGGGACGCCCGAGAGTAAAGGCAGGCTTGGACATCTAGCGTGCCCAGGGTAAACAGCTTGCTTAAGGATAGTTAAGAATTCGGCTATCTAGAGCATATTAGATGGATGGATGTTAAGTTCAGAAAGTTTGTACAGCGGTCGCTGGTGAGGTACCGTGTCAAATGCTTTAGAAAAATCGATGAAGATGGCATCAGTGGGTTTGGACGAATGAAACTTGTTAGGCAAATCGGTTACAAACTCATAAAACTGGGTTTCGCATGAATATCACGACCTGAAACCATGCTGGTTGTCACATATTAATTTATTTTTCTGACAGATAGTTCCTAATGGGAAAATAGATGATATCTTCAAATATTTTGCATGGCACGCTTGTCAGCAATATAGGTCTATAATTCGAGTAGCCGTGCTTGTTTCCTGATTTTAAAATGGGTAAAACTCTCCCGAATCCCCCGTCCTTCGGAAGGGTAGCCGAGTCAAGTGAATATTGAAATAGTCGACGGAAAATGTTAGATGATATGTGCTTGGTTATTTTTAGAAGTGTAGGGCGAATGTTGTGGTCGATAGGGGCTGAGCTGCTGGAGAGTTTTTTGATTGCATTCAAGATACCATTCCGGTCAAAGAAAATAAGTTCGCAATAAATGTTAAGTAGTCTAGAGATCGGATCACAAGGTACTGGTAAGTCGTCTACAGTGGACACGGATGAAAAACAGTTTTTAGAGACGGTTGTTGATTCTAGGTTTGTTAATACTTCGTTGAGATTGTTGCTCAGCTTAGGGGGAGATTCATCTTTTCTCGGACATATTGTTTTCACAAATTTCCTAGGATTGGTTAAAACAAATTTAACAGGTCTTGTTTGTTTGTTTTTGTTTTTTTGTCCAGCGTGTAGTTGGTCAGCCATTTAAAGTTGCGACGAGTCACTCGCTGTAGATGAGCAATTTAGCCAGTGCAGTACAGCCGCTAGCCTGGGATTTTTAACGTGCACCACGCAGTAGTAATACACGACTGCCCGCCGGTACGATGCCCATCCAGATCGAAACGGGCAGGGGTGGGGATTGAACCCAGGATCCCTGGGTTCTGCAGCGCGAGCTTTCACTCCACGTGCTCCGAGCTGGTGTGCGCTAGCCCACTCGGCCACCGATTCCCCAAGGTCTTGTTTTAAATATTTGTTCTTCGCAATTTTATGCTATTTTTGAGATCCTTAAAACAATTTAGGCACTTAGACAAATCAAATACAATGATTTTTTGTTTTGTTTTGTTTTTTACCTTTGGCAAAGAAACACTTTTTATATATTGTTTAATTTGCTGAGTGTCTTCGTAAACCAAAGTTGATCAGCCTTCTTTTTTGACAAAATTAGAGGTAAAAATTTAGACTTCGACTGCTTAAACTCGTCTTTTAGTAATTTCGAGTTCGACTGCTCAGTTCTTTCATTTTAATGGTGTTCGTATTCTGAAGCAAATTGCTCAAAAGCCTCGTTTAGGGCACATTCGTTAACCTTCCTGTATAAATAGATGAGTTTAGGACTTGTCTTTCTATTTTATATTGAGAAAGACATTTCAAATAAAACCATGTTATGATGGCTGATCTTGACAAGATTACGAGCTGACCGCGCATGATCTGCACTAGAGGAGAAAACAAGGTCCAATAGAGAATTATTCTTGTGTGTTGGTTTACAATTCTTGAGTGAGACCAAAGCTATGCATCAGGTTAACAAAATTTGACACTTCTGAACCAATCACATAAAAAGCAAGACCAATACCCTCCCTCCACTTTGCACAAGGGAAATCAAATCACCTCAAAAATAATGGTACTAACGTGAAATAAAGAAAAAAAAACGTATTCCATGCAAACGTACAGTATGTCAAGGAAATTATTTTCACGGCCCGGAGGGCGATAACAGACGCCAACGAGATCTGGCAAAGAAGTGTGATCTAAGGGTACCCACAAAACTTCAAAAGTCATATTCTACAGAAATCAGCGATTCATCTATAATTTTACGGATAGCAATAAGTACGCTGCTACTGGGGAAACGTGTGCGGTCGTTACGAAACAAATGAAATGATTGACTAAGATGAACCTCGCCATCGCTAATCTCCGGTTTAACCAGGGTTTTGACCCTGGCACAATCTGAGCACCTGAATCGTGCACAGTTGACAAAAATATCCTGTTTAAGCAGAAGACTTCTAAAGTTCGCCACAAGAACACTGATGTCAACACAATCCTGCCTAGCTACTTTTCTAGACTGTCGCGTCATCGCTTGATTCACGGCTTGAAACTTTTGAACTAAAAAAATTTTATCAGCCTTAGAGCAATAAAAGTACTGATTTCCACCGAAATAAAGCTTGTCGTACACAAGTTTAACTCTTATGCTTTGAGTTCTGAACTGCGCACTATACTGCCACAGTTTGCTTCATTGGTGGCAAACCCTAGGAGGGAAGTCTTTTGAGATAGAAACCTTAAAGGGGCCCTCCAACAGTATTTGAGCGTCGACTTTTTTTTGCGGTTTCTACACGTTAGTGGTCCCGGAAACCCAGTGGACAACGAAAGAGTTCGAAAATATTAGCGCATCATATTTTAATTTGACAACTAGGAAACACCTCCTCCGACGGTGGCGACGCGAGGTGCCGAATGCGCGCGAATAACGGTGCTCCCTTTCACTTTACGTCACATTCACTGGGTTTCGTGATTGGCGAGAGCCGTCCCAGGAAATTTGAAGCAAAATAAAGTATATCACACGTTAACCGTCATTATTTCTCTAACAAGCCGTTTTTATAGAGCTAATAATGTTGCAAATTCAAGTTCAAAAAGGGCGAAAACAACGCCTCGTCGCTCATGCGCGCCTCCCAGCGGCGTCCGCAACGTACCGCCGCGAGCAGACGACAAGTGATCCGTCCAGTGCAGACACCGCGCATCGTATTTTCGCTTGTGCGCCCGGTCAACTAAAAGCAGTAAGAGGAGCCAGGGGAACCCTTATTTTCTGTTAGTACTGTGAAAGACTCTTCACTGTTCGAGTGAAGTGCGGCGACGGGACGGTGCAAGCGATTAACCGTAATGAACCTATGGTGAAACGATCACTTTAGGTTGTCGGCTCCGATGAAGTGTCTCGTGCGCGGTTGCACCCGCACGCACCGGGATGCGGGTGTTTCCTTTCACCGTCTACCTGGCAAGGATCCAGTGCGAAGTCGCTGGCTGGAAGCCCTTCGACTGCGCGCTAACTCGAAGCTACTACATCAGCTTGATCGTGTGTGTTCCGAGCACTTCTCCGCGCAGTCCTTCACGTCGTGGAAGGTTTCGAAGAATCTGGGGTTCGAGAAAAAGAAGAAACGCCTCGACGAGGGCTCAGTTCCGACCCTTCAACTGGACCTCACACCAGCACCAGCGTGCAAAAGGCGCAGACTGGTGAGCAATTCTGTGATATATATTTTTTGTTCTTTTTTTTTTTTTTTAGTTATAATTGTGACTCACACGATGGCTCCTATCGCGCCCGTGAACATGCGTAATGCGAAATTGTGGCAGATCTCGTCCGCTGGTTTCCCCAAGCATCAAGTTCACATCTGTCAGAAGCCTTCCCTTGCACAGAAGTTTCCGAAGCCAAAAGGCAGCCGGGCGCCCGGCAAGGGGACCGATTGCAAAGCCTCTTGATGCGTGTTCAAGTTTCAAACGCTCGAGCGAGTAGGAGGGAAAACAGCCACCGATCGGAAAGAAGAGAGCTCGGATTAGAGGGGGAGGGAGGGAGGGGGGGGGGGGGTGTGACGTCCACGATGCAACAATTTCAAATTTCTTATAAAAACTAATTTGCATACATTTTTTTTTTTTTTTTGGTTCTCGGTTTTGAGTAGTGCGATAGTAAAACTAGAGAAGTATGCGTTATGTGCCAGCTTGACTGCACGAATCGCTTGACTTCCTCACAAAGTATTGTTCAATTAAATTAATCATAAAACGCGATTAAAAAAAGGCGGCAGTTTTGGCATTGTCTCGTTTTGCTACCTAAATAATTAACTTGTATTAATTCTGCATGCCCACATTACATTTCAACAGTGATTCAAATTGTCAATTTTTTTTTTCTCAGGATGATTCAGAGACGCCATCTGAGTGGGGGAAGCACAATGAAGCAGACAACCTCTGCGAAGACTCTATTGTAAGTCCGAGCTAGAGCTCCTATTAGTAAATCGAATGTGTGACGAGGTTTAGCGTGCTACCACACCATGCCAGGTACAATATGAAAAATGAAACTTTGCAGGTGGTGTCAAAAGAGGACATGGCAGCCAGTATAATCGAGGTTGTGCCTGCTGAACAGAAAGCACCTGAAACTCAAGACTGTTCTGTGAGTTTCTTGGCAGTGGGTGGGCGGTGTGGAACGAGGATGGGGGGTTAGAATGCGAATGGAGGGGTAAATAATCAAAGGATATGATTGAGAATGGATGTGCAAGCACACAAGGATTGCTTAGAAAGTAACACCCCAACATTTTTGTGTCAAACAATAGTTATTGAAAATAAATGAAATTTATAGGGTTTACTAGATATTTCTCTACGCATAACATTTATCTAAATAATCTACTCATCCTTTTACTACTTGACATCGGTAAGAAACAAGTGCACCCCAGCCGTATCACTCTATGCAATGTGCATGCGACGGCAATCTGTATGTGCATAGTTCTGGCGTCCTGGAAGTATGTCTTCCTCATAATGCATTTTACATCAAAACATAAGATCCAGTTCACGTAAATAATCTCACAAATGGGCTCAGTATGTCACCATAACTGCGGACACTAAAGCAGAGAATATGATGCCGAATTGCACAGCGTCGGGGTGAGTGAGTGGTTAAAGCGGCGGCCAGAGATGAATGTCTGATCAAAGCAGTCCAAGTTGCAGCCGCATGAGCCACAGCTAAAATTAAGAGTATGAGGGTGGTGGCCGAGGAGAATAAGAAAACCGAGCACACCGAGAATACAGCACGGCCGCCACCATGTTTTGTGGGGAATTTATGAGCCATCCACTTCTGTAAACAGCTGTGGTTTGTGAAACGACAGTTCACTATGTGGCTTTGCTTCCTAATTTCTAAAGAATTCAATGTTTCATGCCACCCTCGGGGAGCGAGAAAGGACTTTTAGTCACTATCTTTATTTTAGGACAAGAAAAAAAAGTGTGGGTCATAACTTTCCGTGCAACTTTTGTTTAGAAGTTCCAGTGCCATGCACATGCCCTTATTTTGCAACCTGTTTACAAAAACGTCTGGAAATTTATGCAACTACACAAGGTCTTTGTGAGTCAGGCAGGTGTAAAACTAAGCACCAACTATGAGCTTGAAAATCAAAGAAACATCACTGTGAACACATTTTCGGCCATTTTGCAGGAACTTCAGCTCGCAACTGAAGATCATGGGTATTCCATCAGAAGTGCCACGTCTGCCGACCACACCTACAGCATTGAAGTTCAGTACGAAAACAAAGGTAAGGACTTGCGAGATTTCATCCTAGTTGAGATGCACTCAAGCTCATTCATGTATTCAGTCCGTCATACAGTCTGTATCTCGTGACATGTACCGTGTGCAGTTTTTAATTTTTGTAGAAAACAAGCTCTAATGAGACATTTTAATATTTTCAGTGTTCCAATTAGCATTTCCATGACACTGTGAGGACAGGGCTTTATCACACCTTTTTTGCTTCAATAAGCACGGTATATGTCAAGGGTGGCCAGGCTGACCCGGCCTAAGAGCCGCAAACAAAGCCATGAGACTTCCAATAGCCGCGGGGGAGGGGAACTTTTGTTCAGAGCAATAAAACTCGAAGTACTTTGGATCTAGCCTGGTCAAAAGCAGTTCAACTGTACGTAAGGTGGTAGTAACACAAGACTACCAAACCGCCACCTGTCTTTCGATTTAAAACGCGGTTCATTTCTCCTTTTGGGGAAGTCCTCGTGCGACCGGGAGCAAGGCAAGGAAAGGGGAGAGGGTAAGGGAAGGAGCTGCAAGCCGCACTTTAACACGCAAAGAGCCGCATGCGGCTCGCGAGCCGCAGGTTGGCCACCCCTACTATATGTCATGCTCTTTTTGTGGTTGTGCGGTGGCGATGCTTAATAAATGGTAACAAAAGGAATTAGGGCTATGTTGCACTATGATACGTTAGTCTTAATGAAAAGGCGATCCATTTAATTTTGTCGGGAAGGGAAATGAGAGAGGGACAGGTGAGAAGGAGAGTGTGTTCTAGAGCCGTGATGCTAGACCAGCAAGGGACAGGAAATCATGAAGTGCTTGTTGTACCTCAGTTCTTGCTAATGACCCCATAGAGAACAGGAATTAGCTGTAGGAAGGTGAAAGGGTGGCTTTGGGAGACCTTTCACAATTCAATCCAAGTTTACTTTATCTGCAAGTCCTGTAAACCGAGCAGTGTGGCATAGTAGGACCTGAAAAGCTAATTTGGTTATCAGAGAATATCGATAAAATATGTTGGGGAATTCTTTTTGATTTGGTTATATACAGTAAATGAAGTAGTAGCAACTGTTAAGAACTCATCTGCAATTATTCTAGATATTTCGACAAAGCAACATATCGTAAAGCACCGAGTAATGTAACGGAAAATCTCCACGGCTACGACAGCCACCGAATGCATCATAGATTCTCATAGGCCAAGTGAAAAGCCACCATGTGCCGAAAATTCTGAACAAGCCAGGGGAGCAACCACAGTACAATGTACCGATAACATTCCAGGCACACAGGTGAACTTGTCCGCCAAGCAGTCGAAGGAGACGCAGACAGACCCATGGGAGTCTCCAGCTGTTCTTCCATGTACAAGTGCTGCTCCAGCCATCATGAAGCAAGTGCCTCCATCACCAGCAGTTGAGACACCAGCGTGCCAGCCTACAACTGTTTTTCTGCGCAGGGATCCTGCTCCAGTTACTATGAAGCAAGTGCCTGTGCCAGCAGCAGTTGAAATGCCAGCATGCGAGGACTTCGCCACAGAGCAGGTTGCCCCATCGTACCGGCCGACAAGCCAGCCATTTCTGGAGGCCGACCTCTCTTTCGAAAGACCAGGCATGTGCTCAAGCCCTATTCCAGAAGAGCCTGCAGACACTACGTACGAGGCTTCTTGGGACGAGAGCTTCTTGAGGTGATACACCACTGACTGCTATTTCCACAGAAGTGTGCCTTCACTTGAACCCATCCATGTGCAGTTGTTCGTTTTTGCGCTTGCTGGCTCACCTCTCCGTAGCTGCACTACATCTTATTGATGTAGCCTCACTTTGAAGCTTTATTTCCTTATGTAAACACTCCACTGCCTTTTTCTGGAGTGCATCTAAACCCCCATTTCTTCCACCATAATTACTTGTAGACGCCACTTTTGTAGAAGTCGAAGGAAAAACACCAATTACAGATATGATATATTTCTGAACAAACATGCATCTGAAGAGCAATAGGCAAACAAAGCCCTACTGTCGAATTCACGAACCTCACTCCATTTGTGGCACCCCTCCATTTCTATGTTGAAGGTGCTAAGGCCAGCACTGGCCCTCGCGCCTTCCTCAAGGAAGTGGAGGGGCACCCCAATGGGAGCGAGGTTTGTGCATTCGGTTGTTAGAATACTGAGATGCCACCTAGTTGCCTGAATATATGCTGTGCCAAAAGTAGAAGAGGGGTGCATGAAAATCGATAAGGTTGCCCATTTGCCCATCAGTCTTCGAATAACCCCGAGAATATACTTTTTGCAGCAACTCAACCTCAACGGCCCCCCTGCACGAGGAGCCCAAGTACATTGTGTTTGAGAGCTGTTTATTGCAGTTGCTCCGCCCATGCATAATGTGCCAAGCGCCATGTAAAGTTACTATTGTACCAGACGGCAATCTAGTGAGGGCCACGGCTGTGTGCCAAAGTGAGCACAGCAGGACTTGGCTCAGCCAGCCTCTCATCAACAACGTGCCAGCCTGCAACCTGCTCCTCTCCGGTGCCATGCTGTTCACCGGCTCCAGCTCTGCAAAGGTGCTCAGGCTGCTAAGGCTCATCAATATTCAAGCCTTCTCGGAAAGCACGTACTTCAATCACCAGGCAGCATTCCTGCAGCCTGCAATGAACGAGTGAGTTCCATTGCATAATCGCTATCTTTCTCGTGCCCTTTAACATTTTTTGGGCAGCACATTCTCATTGTCGTCATTACAATCCCCTCAGTAGTGGGTACAGCAACTATTGAGAAATTTATTATTAAACAATAGAAAGAGCTCAAGAATGTGGAATGAAACTCATCGGCCTATCCTAAATTCGAAAAACGTTTTCCGAACCCTTTTTCAGGTGTGGATCCGAGAGCAGCAGAGCCTTCTTCAAGCGAGACAGGGGAAGACGGTGCGTTTGGCTGGGGACGGGAGGTACGACTCTCCAGGGTACTCGGCCAAATTCATGACGTACACCTTCATGGAGATGGAGACAAACAAGATCCTCCACTATGTCCAAGTGCAGCTTGGAGAGGCAAGTTTTGCACGTTCCCTGGAGGGTTAGAATATTGATGTTGCTTGTTACTGCAAGAGTAAGGCTTCACTTTGTGTGTAGCACTGACCAAGTAGATAAAAAGAGTGTCTACTTGCTCCGAGCTATAGGAAATAGTTAAAGGATAGCGATATACCACCAGTTCACCTACGCATTGACGCTGACATCACTCAAGCTGCATGTGCCAATATGCATACAAAGTGCCCTACAAAAGCCAGAGCTTCCTTATTATAGTGTTATAGCTTTGCTCATGAATAGTCTGTGTGGAAATTTAGGATGGACTGTTCCATACCTACATACAGGCCATACATTTTGCTTCATTTAGCAGTCGGTGCTCAAGTCCTTAAACACGAGCAACTGCTTTTTTCTCTTACAGTCCCCCGAGGTGAAGTCCAGCAACGCAATGGAGCTGCATGGCTGTGCCAAGGGGCTCACTTTTTTCAAGGAGGAGGATGTCACGGTCGAGGCCCTCGTCACTGACCGTCACCTAGGGATCAAGGGCCACATGAGGAGCAAAGAACCCCAGACACGCCATTACTTCGATGCTTGGCACATTGCAAAAGGTGCCTAACCCTGACTATCATCAGTTTAGTCTGATTTAGTGTCATATTGCAGTCCTTATGTTAGTCGGTCTACAAGTCTGGAGTAAGGTGCAATATGTGTACTGATTTTAGTTTTTTTTTAACTGTTCTTCCAGGCATAAGCAAAAAGATGTTGAAGGCCAGCAAGTACGCCCGGTGTGAAGTGTTGGCATACTGGGCACAGCCTGCCTCCAACCATCTGTACTGGTGTGCTGCCAACTGCGAAGAGGATGGAAAACTCCTCGTCGAGATGTGGAAGAGTGAGTCAATTATTTGTAAATATTTAGTCCTATTATATACAGAAGTGCCCAGGTAGTGAATTTTCACTTCGAAGTGAGCACAAAGGTAATAGTAACCACGTTGAAATAACCTGAGACAGGGGTAGAGAAGAAGCATCAAAGTGTAGAAGGGACAGAAAATAGACAGGACGACGTCTCAATGACGTCGTCCTGTCTATTTTCTGTCCCTTCTACGCTTTGATGCTTCTTCTCTACCCCAGTCTCAGGTTAATTCAACATGGTTAATATTCACCAGCTCGCCTGCACCCTTACAATTTTTTCAAAGGTAATAGTATTTATTTTGCAAGAATAATTTTGAATCAAACCAAGTACTTGTACAAGGATGTGGAAGTAAAAAAAAAAATCAAATGTAGAACTTCCAGTGAAGAAAGGATTGTCTAGCAGTCTTTTCCAATGTATGTTTCAAAGCTGTCAAGGAAATGTACAGATGAAATGTAGACCTGCTATTCTTTACTTTATTAACTCTTCAGTACACTATCGTGGCAGTATTACAAGAATCCAACGTCACAAAGCAACTGAGGATATAAGTGATGCCCCAAAGGCTCCGTGGGCAGGAACCAGAGATGGTTTGAACCCTCAACTTTGCGCTCTCGAGACGAAAACAAAATCTCAGTGCCACGGAGGGTTATTGCCAAGACGGCAATGGTGTCAACAGCAACAAGCTAAAACGTTGCAGGGAAATATTACACAAAAAGGCAGGATGGCGGCTGCTTAACACCAAGTCAACCTCCTTTGATAGCATTGTACATGACTATCATCTAAACCACATGTGCCTACATGTCATAGCCCTTGCGTTAGTACCACGTGCCAAAAGCTTTACCGCTTTAGTCAGAAACATTACAGGAAAGTATCTGAATTTGGTTGTTGCACTGAAAAATTTTGCAGATCAAGTCTAGTTACCATTATAGGTTTACCTCTATTTTTATGGAATAATGGCACAAGAAAACACTGGACATACAGTCTAAGCTCATTACAACAGACCTGGTTACAACAGACATTTGGATATAACATAGGGATTGTGAAGTTTCGTTCGTTTTCCACTACATACCATTGACTCCGCTTCATATCTGCATACAACAGACTCCTCTTATAACAGACCGAAATCTTGGTCAAAATCAAGGTCTGTTATAACGTAACGAGCTTAGACTGTATACAGGCATATATCCATGTAGTATTTTGTTGAATGTTTTCCTTGCTTTTTAAATGAATAAAAATATATCCTGCAGCATTCTCAAACTTCAAAAATGTTCGAAGTAGCCAAATAACCAGCCCCATTTGTTTTGAATCTTTGCAAGTCTAGGCGATATCATAACAAAGGGGGTTACAGTTGAAACATGCCTGTATCAGCAAGTCTACCAGTCAAAATAGATAACAGAACACAATTGCAGACATTTGACAGGCTAGCAGGTGCACTACAACACAAATGAGTATCAATTTAGGTATCTATGATCCAGTGCAGAATGACATAGAGCAAATAATTCCTGCATAATTGTTTGGCTCGAATGCGGAACTGTCGAAATATCTTGATCAGGTCGACATGTCCCCGTGATGCTACGATTTTGCTTACGTGGGACATCTCAAGGCCTGAAAGACTGGTCTCTGTCACGTAGACAGCAACGTGTTAGGCATACGGCAAATGTTACAGGCATGCTGTCACGCCTGAAAGTTGTTTCGTAACTTCACAAACTGTTTGCATTGTTCTAAAAAATTAACCTTGTATTTCAGGCATAAACAACCATGCTCTCGACAAGCACACTGGCCATGGAGGGGTGTACGACCGCTGCGTTCACGACACCCTCGTTGGGGACAGAGAGTGGCTCTCTCTAGGTCAGTAGGCAATCACGCTGAAAACCTAACTCTACTTTTCTCTGAGCGAATTTGGTAAATTTGCACATTTAAGTAAAAAAAATAGAAGCTACATAGCGTGTAATCATGATTCCAGGTACACCAGCTCACAAGCGCTTTGTCAGCATTACCATGCAAAAAGTGCTTCTGAGGGACTTGGAGCACGTGTCACCTGCAGGCCACACGTACAACCTCGAGTCCTACCATAGTATGCTCATCAGGTTTGCACCCAAGTCTGTGGCGTTCACAGGCCCCATCATGCATGCAAGGTTTGTTTTCTGTAAAATAATTAGGCACATATGCAAGTCGATTGTTTTTTCTAGCAGGTCCCCATGAATGCTTTTCTCTGCGGACAATATTTCTGCTTCAGAACCAGATTGGCTGCTCTGCACCACAACGAAAACTCCGGAAGGGTCCAAGCGGTGACGCGCAAAGGGCAGCCGAAATTCAAGCGAAGGATGCAGAGAGGGAAGATGGGGACCGATCGTCTCAAGGAAGTGAAAACCCCTCCAACCTACGGTGAGGCTCATATAATTTTGTTGGCACCGTAGATACTACCCGCTGGACAGTCATTCCGAGACAATCTAAGTGCTGCAGAGACGCTTTTAGTTCCTTGACATATGTGATGGGTAACATCCTTTATCTGCGCTTGCCCTAATTACAGCGTACGTGGGCCAGCTGCTGTCTGAGGCTGCTGCCTGCTGCAACGAGTCTTCCCTCAGGGAAGCCTTGGGTAACAGACCCCGGGATCGGGCCCCCCTCCCCATGGCAGCTCACTACCCGAGGCTCCCAAAGGAGCAGCTGGTGGAACAGAGGATGTCACGTTACAGCAGAGGGACAGCAGGGTCTTCATGAGGTGAATGCTCCAAACAGTTGCTCTACCCCACTGCTTTGTATTGCATACACCTCCTGTTCTTGGTGTTGTGCTGCTGTGTGTTTGAAGAGAGAATGAACGAGCACTGAAGCTTGCAAATGAATCTGGGGTCCGCTAAGCTATCTTGTTTTTAGCAAGATGGGCAGCTTCACGGTTGATCAGCAGGATGGCAGAAATGAGAGTGCACGCACTGTCTCGCTGAATGCTGTTGTGGATGCCGTCAACAGTTTAGTACGCTATCAAAAACAGACAGATTTAGGTTTATTGCGCTTGCACTTGTTCATTCGTTTCTTCAATCAGTCTGTCTGCTTATTTGAACGTGCAGGACGCATCCTCAGATGAGCTGAAGGCCGTCAAGAAGGCTGGCAAGGCACAGAAGAATGTGTGCACCACTGACAAGCAGCAGCACAGGAGGAAGTAGTCTCGGCATCTACACCTAAAAGGTGCTTGAGCTGTTCCACCCAGACACCGACGCGTCAAGCGGGGCCATGCGGACCATGAAGAGCTTCATGACCGACGCCTTCGAGCATATTGAGGCTGAGGTCTCCTGCCGTGGCCCACTACAAGCGCTCAACCATCGCGAGCCGCGAGAACCAGATGGCTGTGCAGCCGCTGGTGCCGGGTGAGCTGGCTAGGCACACCGTGGCCGAGGGCACCAAGGCCGTTACCAGGTACACCAGATCCAAGAGGTCCATCACCGTCACGCAGAGAGAAAAACAACGGTCCTTTTCAGGACCACTTCTCACTCGAAAATCGGACGTCTTGCGACGGCTTCAGACGCCCGTGTCTCTTTTTTCAATGCAGTACTTGGAAAGGAACAAAAGTTGTGAGTACAAATTCGATTTTCTACCAGTTTGTAGTTGCAGCATGCATGCAACGATGGCAGCATGCCTGCTTCACAGGCATGCTGCCTATGTGAGAGAATACAGATTAGTGCATTTGCTGCCAATTCCTTGTTTATCTCAGCATTTGCTTCAGCATCCCCCAATTTCCTTGCACATTCCCAAGCTGGCTTATGGGAGCTAGATCATGATCACGTGCAGCCTTTTGGCAGATCCCAGCTGCTAGGGAGCACGTCTCCCATGAGGCGGACACAATGCGGTTATCACAGTGGAATTTCTGCTTGCCTGTGGATTGTTTATTTAGCATAACAGTATAACCTGCAAAATAATTGGATGGTTCAGATTGTGGACTGCACAAAGGTCTTGGGCCACATGTAGGGATTTTCATGCAGTGCTGCAGAATGAGCACCCCCTTTTCATTCCAAATACATTCCACAGAATTGAATTTTCCAATAATTTCATTTCTTTGAACTCCTAAGAAGGGAAACACTGGGTTTTGAAATGTTGCTCACAAGCAATGTTTTGAAAAAAATTACAAAAAGGGTAACTTTTTTCTAAGACAAGATTTCTCTTATTTTGTGTGTTCTAAACCATGTCAGGGTTTCTAGGTTTCCACTATTTTCAGTAATCTTTTGGGCGTCAAAGGGGTTAAGTTGCCGGCAAATAACGTCAGTATAAAGCTGACGTTGTAAAAGGCATAGACAACTGCAAAAATATGCAAAAAAAAAGTTCTGAAGGCACTATCAGGCGGTAGTCGCACATGGCACTGATAGCAATGCGTCGAAAAACTGAGGGAAACAAGAGCACGTCGCAACATGGACCCATCTTTCGAATGATTAGTGGGTAGACCGTTGTCTCCACACTGCAATTAAACACGCTCGAATGCGAGGACCTAACGCCAGATGCCGGCATTCTAGCGCGTTTGTTCAGTGCAGTGGAGACAAAAGCCGCTAGCTATACACTAACACGCGTCCCTGACGTCATGCTGCTGTAGTGGCGTTGCTACTGGCAGGGCGCATGCACAAATGCTCCACTTCATGCAAATCTAGTTTCTGTGTATTTGCACGCACTTTGTGTGGGCTTGTTTGTAGACAGCGCGCTGGCCTATACGTCTACCCACTAATCATTCGAACCAGAGCTCAGCATTCCGACATCCCCGTGCTCTCGTCTCTTCCTCTCCATTAGTTTCTTGGCGCATTGGTATAATAGTACAGCAAAAAGCCTTAACAGATAGAAAAACTTCAAACCACCCATTTTCTTCAGAAAAGGACCTTATATATAAAACCACTTCTAGGAGATATATGGCAAATGAGGAGTCGTGCATCAAAAAAACAAGGGAACTGTGGCATTGTTCATACCTGGTGCTCTATTTGCACATGGTCACAAGTCACATTGCCGAGCCTCATGGCACCACGAATGAGACCTTGTCTGCTTACAACTCTAGCTTTAATTGCTTCATTGGGGTGCGATTTTCAACCTTGAAGGAACATGAGCCGGTCAGATAACCAAGCCGTCAGTTACCTAGAGTGCAATGATGCCGTCTCAAAAGCCCCTTTGACCGCATCGACACAGCTTGCATAAGAACACATTTCATCCCTGCTCAATTCTTGGCAAGATGCAACTAATTCCCTTCTAATTTTTCTCAGTACTGCCGCCAATCCACTCTATTCCGGAGTCGCAGAATGATTGTGGAATCATTCAGACTTCAGAGTGGCAACTCCGCAACACTGTTTTTATGGTATGGGTGTTTGCCACCTATAGGCACAGTGCATTTACCCACTAATTACTAGACATGCAGGTACCACAGCAAGTTTTCTGGCAGCAGAGCAGTCAAGTCTAAAGGTTGCCACGAATGTCTTCATGCCGACAAGATTGGTGGAGAAACCGGAACTGAGAAGTGAATAAATGTATGGATGAACCAAAGAAGTTTCCAATGAGTAGCCTGTATGTCATGTTCCTGGCTATGTTCTTTACAGGGCATAAAAAAAAGAAGCCAAGAGTTACCTGTTGCAACCATTTTGGGTGGCTCGATGCTGGCGCATACACGCAGCTGGGCTATCTGTGTTGAGCTGAGCTGGTCAATTTATAAAGCTTACGAGACACGGGAGGGAGGCTCTGCTTGGTTGCCAGCTCCGATATACTACAGATGAGTGGCCTTGATAAAGGCCGTTTAAATGGGGTTCTGCCAAACATTTCTCAAGGGTAGTGCCAAGCAGTACAGCTAGAGAAAGCACAAGCTGCAGCAACTCTGTGGCTGTACACTGTACAGCCACAAGGTTGCTGCACCCTGGTCTCTCTCTAGCCGTACCGCATAATGCTCTACACTCGTTGATCCATGTACCAGAGGATCGGGGGTGTACTGGACGGCTTCCTGGCTGGAAAGAGATGAAGTGACTTATTAGGGTGCAGAATGGCAAAGGACACGACGCCTACAGAAGGATTGATTTCAGATGCTACTTAAACAATGTTTAATATTACAACTTCAAATGTGCTCGATGCCCATGTCTGATTGCTAGGAAGAACGCTAGAAATGCATGCTTGGCTTTCTATACGTTGAAACTGTCGCGACTGATAATGAAACAAATAATACAAAACTTGCTCATGTTGAATTAACCTGAGACTGGGGTAGAGAAGAAACGTCAAAACATAGAAGGGACAGAAAATAGACAGGACAACGCCTAAAACTCAGCTGAGTTTGAGACGTCGTCCTATTTTCTGTCCCTTCTACGTTTTGATGTTTCTTCTCTACCCCAGTCTCAGGTTAATTCAACTTGGTTAATATTCACCAGCTTGCCAGCAACCTTACGATTTTTTCTACAAAACTTCCGTCTATTTACATAGCTACGATTAACCACAGCTTCCATGTCAGTTCTTGATTTATGGTTCAAAACATGGACCGAGTAGTGGACCAACCTCAGCAATCCACTGGTGCGCAGTCCAGAGGAGGATACTTGAAGCCAGTACGTGTATTGTTGAGAGGGGAAGGTTTTTCTTATTTTCTCCACAACGCACGCAGGCAGCACTCGTCTGTTGCCAGCTCCCAGTCGACCCCACATCCAGCGGGTGAACTGCCGGTATGCCACAAAGCGATACTTCCTGGAGAGGAAGAATAACAATGTTGCTTGTAGAACTGAAGGCAGAACCGCCACGTTCTAAGATGCAGCTGAGAGGCAGAAAGCAGGCCTCATCAGGTCTTTGATTTTCCGACAAGCTTTTGAAAGAACTGCCGCACTCGCTGGTTTAATGAAAACGCGTTTAAATAGTTTATATTTTCATGTGTGATGAGGCTTTTTGTTTCGGGCACGGCGAGCCTTAGGAGCACGTAAAGTGTCAGCAAAGCGAACACTACGAAGGAGGTTGTGCTCTTTTGGGAGCACGTAAAGTGTTAGCAAGCGAACGCCTGCTACGAAGTCGGTTGTGCTACTATATATCTACCTGACTGAGTAATCAAGGATATTCGTATGCGCGCGATCACGTTTTGTTGTTTCATTTTGCCATGTTATGCTAGCACCATTTGCACTCACTCGTGGAGCTCGTGGGAATGTTCGAGACCCTTCTCGCGGACCTCGCAGTACGCCACGGCGAGGACGGCGACGTCAAGGCACAGCTTGAAAAAGTCGGTGTGCACCGTGATGCACTCAGCCGGCTGCTTCCGAACAGCTTGTGGCAGCTCACGGCAGCAAAAACACTCCCGAGTTGTAGGCATGGCCGTGCAGCGGCCGCAGTCGCACCTGGATTGCAAGCTTACTTAGGACCCAGCTTATATGTTTTATATAGTGCCCAAGAGGAACGCTCACCAGTTTGTATCTCCTACTCGCCGAGGTGGCTCCGGTGGCGGAGTTGCGGGAGACGAGTCTTCCGCGACTGGCGAAGCGGAGGGAGGCAGAGACGCGTCGCGGCGCTTGCGTGGAGTGTCCTCGTACGGCGCGACGCCCAGATCCGCACTCCTTTTAAGAATTCGGCGCTCAAAATCTGATAAGCCCGGTAAATTCATCGATGATGGCAACCCGATCCCAACCCTGCGATGGTTGCATCGAGGCCTAACGACGACGGGCCGACCGGGCCGACGGGCTATCAACCAAACTCGCGTCCCATTGGCCAACCGCTTTGCTCCAATCGCTAAACCGTTTCATTTCACGTCATGAAGCGCAATGTTTTGCTTATTTAAAGTTGTTTTCTGCAATATTTATTTTGCAAATAACTCACAAAATATTGCGAATTTCTGTAATATTTTTTTTCCTCGGTGTTCCTGCTTTCATGGAGCTCCGTTTCAGCGCGAACTTCGAACCGGTCAAAAAATTGTTGGTGGGCCCCTTTAAGTACAGGAGGGTGTTTGTTTGCTCGCAGTATTCAACACGTTCTATTTGCATCGGTAGTCAAGAAAACACACCAAAATCAGTCCGGTTGTCACCCGCCCCCCCGGCCGACGAAATGGACACGTTCAGCCTCTCCCGCTTCTATACCCAGGTGTTTCTGGATGAGGCCTCTTAAACAGTCGTATCTTTGCACGTTTTATTTGGTTTTTCTGGGATTTCCCTGACTAATACCTTATTGTGCCTCATTCTCTCGTATAAATCGTCGCTACTACAGTTAAGGGTGCAGATTTTATTATGAAGTGATCTTATATTATTATGCCAACCGCGTCATTACGGCACGTATACATGCAAGGTGATATGTTGCTCTGGGGAAAAGAAAAAAAGAAATCGTGAATATGAAAGCAAGTAAGTCAAAATATAAGAATATTGTGCACTGCAGAGACTCGCGTCATGTTGAAGGAAGCGTAATAAAACCTTCAGAAGGTCGTCTGCTAAATGAAAAAATACCCAGACCAAGACCCGTCTCGGCGACCCCTGCCGGGAAGCTCGGCGCGTATCTTGGGTGCCTGGGGGAGGTAGATACCCATTACCGGTGTCTTTACGGTCACAAAATCATTGATCGCGTTTAATGACTTGTAGCTTTTCAGCCGTTCTAAGTTATACGGATCAGGCGGCTCGAATAGGTAGTCGTGAAGACGCATTTAGGATATCTTCTGCGAATTTCTCGTTTTAAAGCTGTAGCTTTATAGTCAGCACTTTACAGAGATTTCGTCCTTATAGGTTATCGTCGCCGCGCGCGCGAAAGATGGAAAAACCTTTCTTCTCTTTCCTCTTGCCACGAAGGGAAGGAAAGTACGGACTTCCCGTTGGAGGTGCCGCGCGAAGAGAGCGAAGAGGGCGGAAACAAGTTACAAGTAACGGCGTTACTTTTTTCTCTTTCGGTAACTTTGTAACGTACTCCATACTTTTTTCAAAACAGTAACGGGTAACGTACTTACGTTACTCGCTACTTCTTCCCAAGGTTTTAAGAAATTACACGTCCTTTTTTTCTTGATGTTTAGCCGTCAAGCCATGTGAATCTTAGAGTTTTATGCGATATTTGCGGTTTTTCTCGTGAGTATTTAGGTTGAACTTTAAAAAAAAAAAACACCTACAGTAACTATGCTCAGTTTCTGCAGGAACATAATGTTTCTTGAAATATGGCGGCTATTCATATCTGTAACGCCAAACAGTGAAACGCGTTAATTCATAGTTAAAGAAACTGACAAAAAGTAACGTGCGCTACTTTTTAACGGGAACGGTAACTGTAACGCGTTCATTTTGTTTTAAGGTAACGGACGTCGGGAACGCGTTCGTTTTATTTGGAAGTAATGTTTAACGTCTCGTTACTTTTTTTCGGGAACGTCTAAAACACTGCTCTGGCGTCCCACTAAGAATAGAGCGACAAAGGGTGAATCTTCATGTCGTATGGTTGAAAGACTTGTTTTCAAACATTACTAGCGTTGTGCGAAATCCCACTTTAGCAGTATGCGGTTGCTACGCGAAATATTTGGTTATTTAGAAACATTCACCGCGCTCACCCACTTACTTCAGTGATAAAAAAAAATTGGGTTGTGTGTGTGTTTATACAGCCTAGAACTTGGTCTGCCTCACAGGGGCGACGAGTCTCCCAGCTGTAGATGAGAAATTTAGCCAGTGCGGTAGAGCCGCTAGCCTGGGGTCTTTAACGTGCATCACGCAGCAGTGATACACGACCGCACGCCGGTACGATGCTCATCCAGATCGAAACGGGCAGGGGTGGGGCTCGAACCCAGGATCCCTGGGTTCTGCAGCGCGAGCTTTCGCTCCACGTGCTCTCGGCGATCACTGGTGCGACGTGGTCCATTCTCATAGGCCGTCGCGGTTGGCTTCGTGGATACCACTGAAGACCGCGATCACTGGTGGCGGTCTTCAGTGGTATCCACGAAGCCAACCGCGACGGCCTATGAGAATGAACCACGTCGCACCTCCATTTTGAGGAGTTCGTCACGGCACCATTCCCCCCACATGGCGAGACCGTGCTACAGCGATCGCTTTCGTTTCTTCGCACATTGTGGGCGAAAAATACGACTTTCTTTACGGAATAAGAGTTCGTTCTTTTTATATAAAAATATCAGGAAGGTGTGTGCATTTTGTGTAAATAAAGTTACGGAGGTAACGCAGTTTGTCTACGGCGCCTTTTAAAGTTCGCCATACTAACCGCGGGTATTGAAAAAGAAGCAAAAACCAAAAGCCATCCGGAAGCAACACACTCCCCTAGTATATTCGCCTATGTTTGTTTTCGTTTACCTCCGAACACCGTGTTTATAAAGTATGCTCTGGATATGACTCTGCATATAACCCTTTATTGTATGTAGAGTCGTAAACTGATCACATTTTCAGAAATTGGTGATTCAGGGCATAATATGCAAAAACAGATAAATGCAATACACAAGACTTTTATTAGATTCTTGCCTTCTTGGTTATAACTAAATACATTAATATAAAAATTGTACCTGAAAAAAGAATTAACGGCTTACGTTATAAAGTATGAGGCTTGAATGATTATTCTTAATTTATATGACTCCCAAGATGAGACTTAGCAATAATAAGAAAGACATACTTGAGGCAGTTTCCTTTTTATTTCGGTAAAAACAAACTAAAACATAATTCAAGTGATTAAAACAATCGATTCATAGAATTTGTAAAACTATGTATTATTGTTTGTGTGTTTAAACATGGCACCATTTCTTTAAGCGAAACTCGTCGGCAATACTGAGTGACTGTTCATTTTCGGTGAAGGAAAAACAATATATCTGCGTAACTGATGTGTAAATAAATATTGTTATCTTATACAGATACAAATTAAAACACTCTAGGCTTGTTTTTATGAATTATTATTTTATTAAAATAATTGAAATATCGGGTTACGTAAAACCTGCACTTCGAGAGGTTCCGATATACTGTTTTAAACAGTGCGCGTCCTTATAATATAGGTATCTCCTTTCATTACATCTACAGTTCAAAATTGTCAGATTTTATGTTTGTATTCGTTTACTTTTACTACTTTCTCGTGGAACGTGTTGTAGGTCTGGGCCTGTTTCCGGGGGGGGGGGGGGGGGGGAAAGGGGGGGGGGAAGGGGGGGGGGGGAGGGGGAAGGACATAAAACAATGCAAAGAAGAAAATAAATAAAAAGGGAAAAACCAGGTTGAATAAAGGAGGCACATTTGCACTTCGCATATTGATGCAAGTTGTAACAGCAGTACATTTCCACAAAAAAAAAAGAAAAGAAAAAGAACACTACATACTTGCTAATACAGAAACCGGAAAGCACTAACAACGAGAACAGCCAGGCGCAATTAATAAGCAAAGAGATATCCTTCACACGCAAGTGCTTTGAAATAGTAAAAAAGAGGCATATATTTTTGCATTCTACACTTAAATGAATTTTTTAAGGTAGACGATGACAATAACAATATATAAATCAACTAAAATAAATGTGTAACACACCAGCAACCTCACGCATGCAAAGTTATGCAAGCCGTTATGATAACGCGAAACACACCTGCATGTCAAACTATACATGAGTGCCCTCAAGCGCCGTCTCGAAGAACCCCGTAGAATAACGTAAAATGGGCGCGTTCAGTGGCGGCTCCCTCAGTTCCGAACGGAGTTGCTCGAGTGGGAGTTCTCGGAGCGCCTAATCAACGACAAAAAAACGAGGCGTTTCAGCTGCTCCAACGCAGTTTCCGCTTCCTTCGCTGTGGCAGACGGTCTCCGAATAAAATGGAAGCAGACGACGCCGAGCACGATCCCTTTTATTTGACGCCGGTGTTGAAGAAGTCTAGACGAAGTCGTTACAGAAAAAGCGAGGGACTGCGGACATCACCGCTGCTGTCCGAAGCGTTCCAAAGCGATCGAGCCCTTCGCGGGGCGGTGCAAATGCCTGCTACTGTTAGAAAAACCTACAAAAACGCCAACACTCGCAAAATCTAGAGCTCAGTGTATTTATGTCACCGGCTAGTATACTTTAATTCGTACGGCCGTATGCTTGTTCTGCACTTCTCTACCAACTCCCTATAAAATGCATTCGTATAAACTCGGGAAATCGGCCGCCCTTGGCAATGAAGATTTGGTCGCCCTAAGCGAGCGTCAGCCAACGTCTTAAGGCCCGTTCACGCACTTGCGACTTCTTAAGAATGAGTGCCTTGGAACCTCTTAAAATCCCCTACGACGAGAGCACACACTGACGCCATCTATTGGTTAGCAGTGGAAACTTGTTGGTCCCGCACAATTTATATTTCTCTCGAGCATCATTCTTTCTTTCTTGGCTTGAAAAGTTTTGTCAACGTTATAAGCGATCATACCGCAGGTATTATCCGCATTTGACCTCGCAAAATCCCGCAAACCCTTCACTCTAGTGAAATGCAGTTCCAGGGTCATCGCATAGATGGCGCCAGCGTGCCAGTATATACTCTCGCCCTAATAAATTTTAAGAGGTTTCAAGGCATTCTTTTCTAAGGAGTCGCAAGTGTGTGAACGGCCCTTTATGCTTGCATACAACCCTATTTAGCTACGCAAACAAAACATCAGTTGGGATAATGTTCCGCGTGGGTGTCCAACCACGCTCAATTCGTTGCGTGCACACCTTGCCTTACTGTGTTCAGCATGGAAAGGACTATCATCGGTAATCACCG